CTGCTGCTGCCGCCGCGTGCGCTGGGGCGGGAGCCCCGGGCCTGCAAAAAATTTTTGAAACCTATGTATAATTTTTTCTTAATACACATTTCCTATTGCCTTTTTGAGGACCCCATGCATGTAGATGTACACTCATGCCCCATGTAACAATGTTTTGGTCAATGACATACCAAAAATGTGGTGAAGGTCATGTAAGATAATACCATAGAGCCTGAGCGTGTAGTAAGCTGTATCATCCAGGTCTGTGTAAGTACACCAGATAATATCCACATAAGGAGGAAACTGCACAAAGATTCATTTCTTAGAACACATCCCTGCTGTCAATGCATGACTATTCAGGCATACAGTATAATTAAAATGTGCAGAACTCTTCCAGTATCCCTCAGTAGCCTAATCTAAAACCAAGTGGAACTTACAGTCAGAAAGTTTTCTTTATATCTCATTAAAATCTTTTATTCTAAAATTTGAGTGAATTCAGTAGAGTAGAAATATAAAGTTAGCGGGACCAGTTGACATAATGGCTATGTTGCCAGACTCCCATGTAGTCCACCTCAGTTCAAGTCCTAGACCCAGTGGCTTAAATTCATGCCAGGTACATATGTGTGTGTGCCTAAGATCCTGAGAAGAATGGTTCTCACTTTCTGTCTCTGTCTCTGTCTTTCTGGCTAGTGCATGCATCTTATAGCAAAAACCTCTCAAAAAAAAAAAAAAAGAAAGAAATACAAAGTTAGCTTCACATAATTAACTGATGGCCCAATGTATGTGTATAACTTTTTATTTTTGTGATAATCTCTGAGAGACCATCTCTAAAATGTAAAGGTGTTAATTAGAAAATCTAATAGATTTGTAGTAGTTGCTAAGGGAAAGGGGTAATAGGTTAAAAAATACATAAATGAGCAGCATTAGGGAAAGGGGTAATAGGTTAAAAAATACATATCTGAGCAGCAAGTAAGGGACTCAGCTACGATAACACCAGAATTGTGGTAGCACCAATTCCATGGTCTAGTAGATCAAATCCAACAGTATTCAGTAGATTACATACAAAGAAATAAAAATGCAAATTACAGGATTCATTCATGTACTGAATAAATATTTATTGAGTACCTACTGTGTGTTAGACACTATCCTTGATGCTAGAGATAAAATAGCAGACAAAATTCTATGATCTCAAAGAGCTTACATCCTTGCATGGAAATATAGACCATAAGGCTAATAAATAAAATTTTATTTATTTTTTAAAAATAATTATTTAATTTTATTTATTCATTCATTTATTTTAATTTAACCAGAGAAAGAGAAAGAGTAAACAAGCAGCCAGGTCTAGGACTCGAACCATGGTCAGCCATGTGGGAGTCCAGCCCCTCAACCACCATGCCACCTGCCAGTGCAGTGAATAAAATTTTAATAATCCCCACTTAGACTTAGTTTCCATTCTATAGTTTCAGTTACCTGCAGTCAACTGCCTGAAAATATTAAAGGGAAAATTCCTGAAATAAAGTGTATAAGTTTTAAATTGTATATTGCTTTGAGCAGCATGATTAAATCTTGTGCTATTCTGCTCCTTCCCACTAAGGACATGAATCACACCTCTGTTCAGCATATCCACTCTGTATACACTATATTTGCTACTTTTCTTCTTCTTCTTTTTTTTTTTTTTAATTTTGCCAGAGAAAGCCTGGGTTCACTGAGGAGAAAAGAGAGAGAGCAAGAAAGTGAAAGTGAGAAAGCACCTTCCATGGAGCATGGTTATACCGCAATCCCTTCTCCTCCGTTGCTTCCTCCTTTCCAGTTTTGGTCATGCACAAACATGTATCTGGCATGTTTAGCAAGTTGCTGGGTTCGTGTATCAAACCACAAGGTGAATCCAGCTTCTCTAACCACTGTATCATGGGCTGCTCGTCCCACATACTCTTAGATTAGGAGCATGAACAAGGCCTCTCTGAGAAGGTGCTACTTAAATAAAAGATTTGAAAGAGGTGAGAGATGAATTCATGTGGCTATCTGGGACAGCCCACTTCATGTAGGAGTGCTGAAATGCAAATTTTCTACTACAAAAGCCTGTGTGGCATTGTGTGGTATGACAAGAAATCTAGTGTAAGACTGGACCAATATGAAGTGGTATAAACTAAAGATAGAGAATGACAAATTTGAGGGTCCATCTCATATAGGGGCTTGTCACTCATGGATTTTAAGTTGATTCATGCTGCAAGTTTGAGAGAAGATGAGGTAGGAGGGGAAGGATTGAGAATGCTGATGAAAGCATATTTCAAATTATCTTTGAGAAGGGGATGAAGTGAGTTCAAGAAGGAGCAAATAAAATGGAAGTCTTACAAATCAGGAGAAAATGAAAGCATAGGAGGCCAAGGAGGAAAAAGTTTCTAGGTGGAAGATATATTTATTAATGAGAACATTGATTTAGCATATGTGATATGCTAAGAACTTTGTGTTATCTCATTTAAATGTCTTGCCCACCTGGTGTAGTAATAAGTATTATCTAAATTTTTCAAGTGAGGCAATTGAAGCATAAACACTTTTCCAAAGCCCTGTTGTTGATCAGCAGTAGAATTAGGATTTGAGTTCCATTTGTTTAATTCTAACATCCTGTTCCCTCCCCCTGCATCCAATTTATTGAGGTATAATTGAAAAATAAAAATTGTATATATCTAAAATATACAACTTGATGTTTTGACATACATTGTGAAATAATCACCAATCAAGCTAATATCTTTCACCTCACATCGTTAGCATTTTCCCTTCTGGCTTTCCTTCTTTCCTTCCTTCCTTGTGAGAACACTTAACGTTTACCTCCTTAGAATGCTATAGAAGATTCGTGTATGATAAAGACAGACACAAGTCCATGGGAAGTGGATGCTAGGAGGTCACTGGCAAAAGCATATGGGAATGTAGATGTACTTTGCAGTCGTTCAGTGACTCAGGAGATAGCAAGGAAATGCAGGCACCAGTTATTCAGTTGAAGAAATGGGGATTATGGAAAGTGACCGAGATAATGTACAGTTGGAAAAAAAAAAAAGACTCATGTGACGATAAAGTGTGAATTGTGTAAAATGTGGGGCAAGATCAGGAAAGAAGTTTGAAAGGATAGAATTATGAAATAGCCTTGAAAAGAAAGACCTTTGTTTTATAGAAAAATAACTGAGGGCCAGAGAAGTAATTGGCGAGCCTAATGTCATAGAGTCAATTAGACAGTAGCTTGGGGACCAGAGTCCAGGTTTTCTGATTGCCAAGACAGGCCCTTCACACTTGTCCAATCAGCTACTTTTGCTGAATCATCGTCTGCTTGTTACTTATCCCCAAACCAAAGGGGGTTATTGTAGTTAATAAATAAATAGAGCATAGAAAAAACTACCATAAATGCACAGCTCTACAGAAAACTAAAGATATCTTGACCTTTGAGTTGCCTGTGTATCTCCTCCCCGTTTAGCAGGGGGTACTGACTTTTCATGACTAAGCTGACTCCTAGATACTGCAGGTTCCCATGCAAATACTAAGTAGGGACTTAGGTGGAGAGAAGAAGGTCACCCTTGGGGAATCTGAGGCTGAAAATTAAGCTCCACTAAGCCTTGAAATAAAAAATGATATTGGTTGGTAAATGAGGTACAGATGGGAAATCAAGCCAGTGTATGTCTGGGCATGATTTGGAGTGACCGATACTGATATGACAGATCCTAGCAAGCAGCCTCATGAGAGCCTGGATGTTAGTTACAAGCGCAAGTAGGTGAAATAAAATACTGCATTTTTGACTTAGGGATTCTCTACATCTTGTCAGTGGAAATTACAGACATTATTTGTGCCATGTATATTCCAGGGAGGTTTCTGATTTAAGAAACTAGAATTTTTTTTTTTTGAGAGGTTTTTGCTGTAGGGCTCATGTGCTCACCAGATAGACAGAGAGAGACAGAGAGACAGAAAGAAAGAAATCACCCCCCAGGGGGGATGGCCACACTGCAATCCCTTTTCCTTTATTCTCCTCTCGGGATCTTGGGCACACAAGCACACATGCCTGGCGTGAGTTTAAGGCACTGGGTCCAGGACTTGAAGCACAGTCGACTACATGGGAGTCCAGCGACATAGCCATTACACTAACTGCTGGTCCCAAGAAACTAGAATTTTTGAGGTGAAAGCAATATTTAGTGCATTATCTATGGATAAGGTATTATATACATTTTTTGATGGTAATATGAATTTTTTTACATTATACAAAAGATTATTAATTTTTAACTCTGGAGGAATGACAATAGCTTACTTCTAACACTTTTATTATCTTGGGCAAACACTGAAATTCTTGATTAATGTTTAACTATGAAATATACTCAGTTCAAGTAAAGGATCAGTTTCAGGGTTCAGGCTGAGGTATCTTGAAAATTAGAATTCAGGCTCCAAGGAGAAGCCTCTGAGGCCAAGGTTACTGGCAGTAGCACAAAGTGAGAACCACTCCTGACCTCCAGAGAATGAGGACTGGATATAAGATCTTAATCTTCTTTTATCTTACTACAGAAATCTTGATGGAGAAGCAGTATTTCTCTCAAAAAGAAAAGGTCCTAGGAGCTTATTTCACTAGGAATCACACCGTTGTGGAAGGTACTCGATTCAAAAGAGCCATTTTCCAAGGGCAATACTGTAGAAGTTTTGGTTGTTGTGAAGACAGAGATGATGCCTGTGTCACTCAGTTCCATGAGGCAAATGCATTGTGTTACTGTGATAAATTCTGTGAAAGGGAAAATTCCGATTGCTGTCCTGATTACAAGTACTTTTGCCGTGAAGAGAAAGAGTGGCCTCCTCACACAGATATTCAGTATCCAGAAGGTAGGCTTTGGGAATGCATGTAAACATTATCCTAGCACCTAATAACAAGTTCTGACTTACTTTTTTTCCTTCCTTCTTCTCTTCTTTCTTTCCTTCCTGCCTCCCTTTCTACTCTTCCTCCTTCCTTCCTTTCCTTCTTTCTCTCATCCCCCCTCCCTCTCTTCTTTATTTCTATGAAATGACAATGATTACTGTAATTGCCAAGATAAATTTCTTTGGATTGCTTAAGTGCTTTGATTCAGACACAGGGTAACTACATCATGCTGACACCATCAGGAAACTTCTGATCTGATGGCCGTAGTGCTGTTCTAAACTCTGTTTTAAACACTCTATTTGTTTAAGGATTATTAAAACTCTTCGTAAAATGATCAACATTATGCTTCAAGCTTCTTAGACTGTAACCTGTTAGAGAATCCTATAAAAGTCATAGACTTCGTCATCTGTAGATTCATGTAATGTTTTGTTTACTTTGTGGGACTAATGGACTTCCTAGCTTTAGAATGCATGGTACAGCAAAGCCATTAGAACCCGGACAAAAGCAATCAAGCTCAGTAACATTCCCTGCCTACACAATTTTTGTCTTGTTTTATTATTATTTTTGCCAGTCTAGAATTCCTAAAATTATTTAAAAATAAGGAGGACTTCAAATTGAGTAGTTTTTTAAATATATATATATATATATAAGTTTAAAACTTAGTAGAAAAATACAATGATACATAGGGAGACTATATATTACTATATATAGTTATAGGATGACCATCTATTTTGAATAGGTAATACAAGAATGCTCTGTAACAATAGCAAAATAAATAAATAAAATACAGAAACAGAACCCTACAGCTACACTTGAATGAGGTTATACTCTTCCATCTCTCATTTTATAAAACTTCCTCAGCAGAAATTCAAGATTACACCATTGTAAATTGGTGATGATAACCAGAAATTATTGTGAGAATGTAATTTAAAATAAAGTTGAAACTTAGAACACTTATTTCCAAATCTAGATCTTATTTAAAAATCCAGATATTGCTGTCCTCCTTCTCAATGTCATCTTGTTTGTAAAATTGAGGAAATCCATCTTTAAAACACACATAGTGTTTTCAGTTTTCTACCTAATTCACATTCATGTCAGGCCTTTGCATTTCACCAATAAAAAGCTCAGCAAACGTTTAGTTCATTTTATGAAGTGGCAGATAAACTCTACTAGACATGAGAGATTCAAACATTTTTCTGTACTTATCCCTTGAGTATCTCTACTGTACCAGGCATTTTGCTTGGTACTTGGGCAACAATAAGGAGTGAAAGAGAGACAAAATCATCTCATGGAAGTCTGTCAAATTGAGGTGTGTATGTGTGAGATACTGAACAAATTCCTTGTACGATTGATTGTAAATTCTAATAAAGTCTCTAAAGGAAACATTGAGAGTACTGTGAGAAAGAACACTGATATTTAACATAATGTATAATAGCTTGGGTAAGAGTTCATTGAGGAAGATATTTAAAATGTGATTTGAAGAATGAACAGGGATGAGCTGAGCTGGATTAGTTTACAGGAGACAATGTGTTGTAGACCCTAGGATGAGGAGTTTCGGCATGGTCCAGGGACTGGAAGAAGGTTACCATTTAAAATATATATAAATATATATATATTTAAGTTTTGCTATAGGGTGAATGTGCTTGACTTCGTCATCTGTAGATTCATGTAATGTTTTGTTTACTTTGTGGGACTAATGGACTTCCTAGCTTTAGAATGCATGGTACAGCAAAGCCATTAGAACCCGGACAAAAGCAATCAAGCTCAGTAACATTCCCTGCCTACACAATTTTTGTCTTGTTTTATTATTATTTTTGCCAGTCTAGAATTCCTAAAATTATTTAAAAATAAGGAGGACTTCAAATTGAGTAGTTTTTTAAATATATATATATATATATAAGTGTAAAGCTTAGTAGAAAAATACAATGATACATAGGGAGACTATATATTACTATATATAGTTATAGGATGACCATCTATTTTGAATAGGTAATACAAGAATGCTCTGTAACAATAGCAAAATAAATAAATAAAATACAGAAACAGAACCCTACAGCTACACTTGAATGAGGTTATACTCTTCCATCTCTCATTTTATAAAACTTCCTCAGCAGAAATTCAAGATTACACCATTGTAAATTGGTGATGATAACCAGAAATTATTGTGAGAATGTAATTTAAAATAAAGTTGAAACTTAGAACACTTATTTCCAAATCTAGATCTTATTTAAAAATACAGATATTGCTGTCCTCCTTCTCAATGTCATCTTGTTTGTAAAATTGAGGAAATCCATCTTTAAAACACACATAGTGTTTTCAGTTTTCTACCTAATTCACATTCATGTCAGGCCTTTGCATTTCACCAATAAAAAGCTCAGCAAACGTTTAGTTCATTTTATGAAGTGGCAGATAAACTCTACTAGACATGAGAGATTCAAACATTTTTCTGTACTTATCCCTTGAGTATCTCTACTGTACCAGGCATTTTGCTTGGTACTTGGGCAACAATAAGGAGTGAAAGAGAGACAAAATCATCTCATGGAAGTCTGTCAAATTGAGGTGTGTATGTATGAGATACTGAACAAATTCCTTGTACGATTGATTGTAAATTCTAATAAAGTCTCTAAAGGAAACATTGAGAGTACTGTGAGGAAGAACACTGATATTTAACATAATGTATAATAGCTTGGGTAAGAGTTCATTGAGGAAGATATTTAAAATGTGATTTGAAGAATGAACAGGGATGAGCTGAGCTGGATTAGTTTACAGGAGACAATGTGTTGTAGACCCTAGGATGAGGAGTTTCGGCATGGTCCAGGGACTGGAAGAAGGTTACCATTTAAAATATATATAAATATATATATATATTTAAGTTTTGCTATAGGGTGAATGTGCTTGCTGAAGAGAGAGAGAGAGAAAGAGAAAGTGAGAAATCACCACCCAGCCCATGGGGTGTGGGGGGGATGGCCATGATGTACTCACTCTCTTTTCCTCTACTCTCTTCCTTGGATTTTGGGCACACATGCTCATGTATCTAGTATATTTTTCAAGCTGTTAGGTATAGGACTCACACTGCATAGTTGGCCCTCTGGGACCAGCTGTCAACCTCCATGCTACTGGCTCAGTAGGCCACCATTTTTGATGAATAATGACTAGAGGATTGGTGGTGACACAAGGGTAGAGAGGTGAGTGGAGGTCATACTATGCCAGATCCCACAGGTCATGTAAGGGATTTGGGATTTCATTTGCTTATGTGAACTCATTGAAAGATGTTAAGTAGAAACAGGGCTGGCTTCTTAGACATGCTACCAGTGAAGTCACAGAGGATCCCATGCCCAGAAGAATCTCATGCTTGGTTTAATCTTCTGATGTTACCATCTTGAAATTCTTAATGATTTTCTAACAAGGAATGCTGCATTTTAATTTTCTGCTTGGTCCGACAAATTACATAGCTGATGCTGGATAGGGAACCTAGATTTACATTCTTTTAAAGATCATGCTGAAAGATAGGCTTGGTGGCAGGAATGAGTGAAAGTAGAGAAAAAAAATAAGAAGTGATTACAGTTTTCTTGAATGTGTTTCTTCAGCTATTGTAGTGAATAACTACCTTTTTGTATTTTCAAACCCAAATAAATGAATAATTCTAAAAAATAAAAATCATGTGCTCAAATCAGGACATCAAATTGCTATTAAAGTTTCTATACATCTATATTCACTTTTTATATCTATATTCACTTTTTATACTTGATTCTTCCTTCAGGGACTGGTAGCAAATATTTCTCAGGCCTGCACTGCTCTATGGACCACATTTTGTACTGGAGCATGAGAAAAGAGAGTAATTTGGGCTTGTTTTATAACTGTGTAGACTTGGATGGGGTAAAAGAAGAAACTTCATAAGATAGGGTTTTACCCTTTGGAATCTAACAAAGGAGAAAACCACATAAGAGATAATTTCAGTAAAATGACATATTAGTCATTATGAGAGAAATGTACTTCGCATGATAAAATCCAGGATGTTAGAACTGGGTCATAAATGATGACTGGGTATTGTCTAGGGGCCACAATGAGAAGGGACACAGTTGAGTATTGAGGTGAGGATGTTGTATGTACAAGATGAGTTTATAAGAAACTATATGGTTCAAAATCAGTAACTGGGTAAATTGGGAAAAGGAAGTAAGAAAGGATTAGATCAAGGACAATACTGAGGGTCAGCATAAGAGGCCTAGTGTTAGAGTTCTCCATATATGTATATATACATATATACATATATAATGTGCATATTTATATACACATATATATAAATATAATATATATATTTATATACACCATCTCTGGACAGAGAGGGTTGAGTTTATTAAACTCTATTCAGGGTACACTAGCAGCATTGTTCCTTGTAGGCTTTGCCTTATTTATTAATGGGTTTCTTTCTCTTTCCCCTCTAGCTCTATCTTCCTCTTCTTTCTTCCCTTCCTTCCTCTCTTACTTGCTTCATTCTCTCCTTTCTTTCTTTCTTTGTTTTGATGTCTATGCCTTATTCCCATCTCTCTCCATAGCCAACCTGCCCTCCTTTCATTTTATTTTACTCTTTTGAAGTGTGTAGTCTTATTTTCTGTGCTTGAATTATTAATTTATATAAGCCAAATTATGCTAAAGACTTCTTCCCATTTCTTCAGTTTTTCAGATATCACCATACATTATGGATCTATCTAGGTCTCTAAGTGTATACTTAATCTGTGGCTTTTGACTGTCTATTTATCTATCATCTTATGGCCTACCTATTCCCTCTATGATGAATGGACACCTAAGTCGCCTGAAGCTTTGTGGGCAAATCAAATCCACTTATTTTCCCTCCATTTTCTTGGAAGTTTTATGATATATATATACATTTAGTCTTGCATGAAACATTTTAAAATAAGTTTATCTACTGGGGTCAGAAGGTATGTAGCAGTTAGGCACTGGATTCCTA